TGAAAAAAAAAAGCAACATTTAGAAAAAAAAAAATGATACATCTCAATATATGTCTTTTATTATTTTTATTTTGGGCTATTTTACCTATTTCTAAAGCATAAAGCTTATTTCAATGACAACTTGCAACAAATTGAAAAAACATTAGCACAAATATAAAATGGAACACATGTATTACATATCAATATCACAAAAATAACATAGAACGTTCATTTGTTCATAATAACCCATATTTATTAAATAAAAAGCAACATTAGCACAATACAATGGATGAGATTTATTTAAAACAACAACTTGCAACAAGTTGATATAATGTTAGCACAATACAATGCATAAGATAGCACATTTTATATAATAAGCAAAATGAATAGCTGCTTGTTTGTTGCTCTTTAAAACAATAACTTGCAACAAGTTGACATAACATTAGCACAATACAATGCATAAGATAGCACATTATATATAATAAGCAAAATGTATAGCTGCTTGCTTGTTGCTCTTTCACACTACTTATTTTAGAGTATAATAATTCTCAAAATAGCCCATATTTACTGAAAAAAAAGAAGCAACATTTAGAAAAAAAAAAATGATACATCTCAATATATGTCTTTTATTATTTTTATTTTGGGCTATTTTACCTATTTCTAAAGCATAAAGCTTATTTCAATGACAACTTGCAACAAATTGAAAAAACATTAGCACAAATAATTCATCTACGTTAGCACCACTCTCAATGGACAAACTAAAATTATATCTTCTCACAACAGTTGCAGTTTAAAGGAAGCACTGTATTAGTCTAAATTGAAGTTTTATCTCTTGAATTTCCAAGGGTTCAATAAGAAAAAAAAAATTACTAAACTTTAAGCACTAATGGAAAATGTAAAAAAAAAAAAAAAAAAAAAGAAGGGCAAAAGTTGCACCTTTCACGCGTCCTGTTCTACCAATTGTTCAGAGCAATTTTTTTAAACTGTTCTTTGATAAACCACGCCAGATACAGCACACTTTACAATCAATCAACCAAAGACTTTCGAGGTAAAATGACTCACGGTGCTGTGAAATTTCTGTTGGAAAACTTGTCGCGGCTGCTCTCGTCACGCGTAGATTTATTACGGAGGCTATTTTTATTTTTTTTTGCCAATCGTAGCAATAAAGATGCAGCAGAAATTTTTTTCTCATATTGTATTGCTAGATTGATAGGAATTTCCTTCTATGTGACGATACAGATTCCTAAAATCCAAACTTCCCATAATAAATGGAATCTCAAAAGTTTATTATTCCTAATTTACCCTCCACCTATTAATTAATTGCTCATTGTGATGTTGTTGCTACTAAAAAAGGTGTAATCCACTCCGTCAAAATACTACATA